TTTGTTCTTTGGTCCCTATAAGAAAGCTCTTGTACATTTTGCGCTCAAGGATAACCTTGAGGGTACCCTTAGAAATAGTAGTAGTAGTAGTAGTAGTAGTAGTAGTAGTAGTAGCGGTAGTAGCAGCGGTAGTAGTAGAAGTAGTAGTAGTAATAATAATAATGATAATGTCTTCCGTGCTACCCAATGTCCTTCCTTCCTTCCTTGCCTGCCTGCCTTCCTTCCTCCCCCTTCCTTCCTTCCTCCCCCTTCCTTCCTTCCTTCCTTCCTTCTCTCCCTCCTTCCTTCCTTCCTTCCTTCTATCTTCCTTCCTTCTTTCCCTACCTCTTCTTCTATTTCCACTGTTTAGTTTTTTTGATCCTGATTTGTTTTTGATCCTGTTTTAATTTTTTTATCCTGATTTAATCTTTTTCTGACCCCTATCCCCTGTAAACCCATATTATAAAAACTCTATAAGGACATCTTGGACAGCCTTTAAAGGAACCCTAAACCCCAAACCCGTGGACTGCAGAGGATCCGCAGGCTTTTTCGCTCACCGAGTCGTCACAAAGGTTCTTAGGCTTTGGGGTTTGGGTTTATGGTTTAGGGTTTGGGGTTTAGGGTTTAGAGTTTAGGGCTAGGGTTTAGGGTCACAAAGCCTACTGCAAGCAGGCACATCCGGGGCCGTGCACACCTTCACCCGAAACCCTATATAAGCCCTAAGCCCCAAGCGCCAGACCCCAAACCTTAAAAACTAAGCCTTGAGCCCTCAACCCGAAGCCTTACAGTGTATCAGTGGGATTTTGGCGGAAACGTGCGCGCAGACACCGACGACGACGACCCCCCTCAGATGCTCTGTTGCATCTCCACCCAGTGCCCAATGGCCAAGATCCTCTGCCATCCACGTTGATGGTGGATCTGGCCTTGCGGTGGAAGCCCATCTTCCAAAAGAGGGCTTTGGCCGCCATGTTGGTCTGCAAGACCTTCAGTTTGGCCATCCGCGCGTGGGGGAAGGTCGCAAGGCCCGCGCTCAAAAGCGCACGGCCCAAGCCTTTGCCTTGATGTCGGTGGGAAACCTTATAAGGTACTGTTGGTGCAGCGTGCCTGGGCATAGCCGATCAAGTGATCGGCAATAATAAAAGCCCCCACCACATGACTCCCCGTGGCGCCGTTGAGCAGTTTTTGCACCCGGGCTTGCCGGAAGCCCGCATGCTCGGGGATGCCCAACGCTTGGCATGCCTCATCCGCCTGCCAACAAATGCGACGAAAAACCCATTGCCTACTCAACATTAAGGCTTTCCTTCGCTTCTCGATTTTTTCCAACGGCCCACGTGTGACAAGTTTGATGTGTTTTTCAGCTTGCTGATTTTGTTTACGGATGAAACTGCTGAAACAAGACCCGTCTTCGACCTACTCTCTCCGACGACGACGACCCCCTCAGATGCTCTGTTGCACCTCCACCCAATGCCCAATGACCAAGATCCTCTGCCATCCACGTTGATGGTGGATCTGGCCTTGCGGTGGAAGCCCATCTTCCAGAAGCTGGCTTTGGCAGCCATGTTGGTCTGCAAGACCGTCAATTTAGCAATCCGGGCGTCGGGGAAAGCTGCAAGGGCCGCGCTCAAAAGCGCTCCGCCCAAGCCTTTGCCTTGATGTCGGTGGGAAACCTTAAGGTACTCCACCTCCATCTCCCCGTTGGCGCGGTGTGCCTGACTGCCTGGGCATAGCCGATCAACTGATCGGCAACCATGCCCCCCACCAGATGACTCCCCGTGGCGCCGTTGAGCAGTCTTCGCGCCAGGGCTTGCCGGAAGCCCGGATGTTCGGGGATGCCCAACGCTTGGCATGCGTCATCTGCCTGCCAACAAATGCGACGAAAAAACCATTGCCTACTCAACAACAACGCTTCCCTCCGCTTCTCGATTTTTTTCCAAAGGCCCACGTGGGACAAGCTTGATGTGTTTTTCAGCTTGCTGATTTTGTTTACTGCTGAAACAAGACCCCTCTTCGACCTACTCTCTCCGACGACGACGACCCCCTCAGATGCTCTGTTGCATCTCCACCCAATGCCCAATGGACAAGATTGACAAGATCCTCTGCCATCCACGTTGATGGTGGATCTGGCCTTGCGGTGGAAGCCCATCTTCCAAAAGAGGGCTTTGGCCGCCATGTTGGTCTGCAAGACCTTTAGTTTGGCCATCCGCGCGTGGGGGAAGGCCGCAAGGCCCGCGCTCAAAAGCGCACGGCCCAAGCCCTTGCCTTGATGTCGGTGGGAAACCTTATAAGGTACTGTTGGTGCAGCGTGCCTGGGCATAGCCGCTTAGCCGATCAACTGATCGGCAATAAATGCCCCCACCACATGACTCCCCGTGGCACAGTTGAGCAGTCTTCGCGCCAGGGTTTGCCGGACGCCCGCATGCTTGGGGATGCCCAACGCTTGGCATGCCTCATCCGCCTGCCAACAAATGCGACGAAAAACCCATTGCCTACTCAACAACAACGCTTTCCTCCGCTTCTCGATTTTTTTCCGAAGGCCCACGTGGGACAAGCTTGATGTGTTTTTCAGCTTGCTGATTTTGTTTACGGATGAAACTGCTGAAACAAGATCCGTCTTCGACCTACTCTCTCCTGTCTCCTCCTCCTCCTCCTTCGCCCACCTTGCTCGTACTCCATTCGATCTCCAAGGCTGTCCTATCAGCGAACCAGCTGCAAACATCTCATGCTTTGTGACTGAATGTGACGATTCATCTGCGGGTCCATGATTTGCATGAACACGGTGGAATTGAAACTCCTGAGGTTATCAGAGAGTGCATTCCTGCGGTGTATGTGGAACTACTGAGAGCATCAGCAGGTCCAAGGTTTGCATCCGCAAGGTGGATTTGCTGAAGTTATCAGCGGGTCCGTCCAAGATCCTTTAAAGGGTTAGTATAATAGGGTTCTACAATACAGGGGCCGTGGTTCCAGTCGAAGATGTTTTTGGCGTCGTCTCAGCTAAAGGCTTTGCAGCCGAAGGCGAACACAAAGTTTTGTTGTTGACTACATCTAAGGGCATGTCCTGGCTAATGTGCTTGAAGCCAACGTGGGCAAAGGGGCAAAATTTACAACCTCTAAGATGCTAGGGGTCAGCTTCGGCCACACTTTCCAAGGGCATTTTTGGGTTTCTGAAGTTTTCACTTGTAAGGGATTTGGGGTGTAGCCTGTAGGCTTGCAGCAATCAAGACTTATGTATACCCTAAACCCACCTAAACCCTGAACCCCGAACCCAAAACTTTACCCTAAACCCTAAACCCGAAACCCCAAACCCCTGAACAATGAACCCTAATTAAACCCTAAACCCTGTACCCTCAACCCTACACCCTAAGCCCTCTACAAGTCCATGTAAAACCCTACAAGGACATTCTACCCTAAGCCCCCCGACTCTAAACCCTAAACCCTAAACCCTGAGCCCTCTACTCTAAACCCTAAACCCTGTACCCTAAACCCGAAATCCTACACCCTAAGCCCTCTCCCTCAACTCTAAACCCTAAACCCTCAAACTGCGGAGGATCCTCCCGGGCTTTTTCGCTCCCTTTGAGCTCTTTTCGGGGATCCTCGCGGCTGTTGAAGTCTTCAACCTGACCGGGCGCAACAAGGCTCTTAATTGGGGTTTAGGATTTAGGGTTTAGGGTTAAGTTTTTCGAGGGCTTCATAAACAGAACGCTGCGACAGGGCTCATATTCTACCGATTTGTGCGGCTTCATAGGGATTCTAAACAATAACCCTTATAAGTGGGGCTTAGGTTTAAGCTTTAGGGTTCAGGCTTTACAGGGATTCTGAACCTGGGCTCTTTAAAAGAAAATCCTGCTTTCCGGTGTGCATCGGCCTCTGGGGCTCCGGCGCTTCTACCGGCCGTTAGGGCTCCCCGGGGGGGTGGGTTTTTTGAAGGCTTTGGGATCTTGCTTTTGGGGTGTTTAGGGTTTAGGGCTTAGGGTTTAGGTTGGGGTTTGGGTTTTGGGTTTGGGGGTCTAGGGTTTAGGGTTTAAGGCTTCGGTGGGGTTATGCGGATTTCCGGATGTAGGGTCTGTGCTGTGGGCTTGAGTCTTGTATGAGGGCTCTTTGGGAGTGTGGATTTAGCGGCTTTAGATTTTGGGCTTGCCATCAGGCAATGCTCTGAGCCGTGGGCCGGCTTAAGATGTAGAGTTTAGGATTTCTTGTTTGGGTGTCCCGAAGCCATCCTTCTCCCGAACTACTCTAGCCCGTAACCAATAAGAAACAAGCACTACTTGTGGTAGCCCCTTAAAGGTTTGTATTACATCAAACATGAACGAAAGCCCAGCATGTAGCCGACTGTGAAGAAGGGAACCCTTGCAGGAACCCACGACCAAGGGCCCGGAAGAAGCCAGGACCGGCCTGCAGCCAGAGGCGGAAGAACAACCGGGGCGACTCGGGGTCGTCTGTGAACCTGAGCTTTTAGGGTCTGGGGGTTGTGGGGATTTTGAAGCTTCAGGGCTTAGATCCGAGCCACGGGGGCTGCAATCCCTGCAGTTTTATTTTAGAAGCGAAGCCAACGGTCAAAGCATCCAACTTGCGCTTAAACTCCATACTACAGTATGATACTCTTTAAAGGAACTCAGAGTCCAAATAGACCTAAAAACCTTCCCCTAAAGCCTACGCCCTGAACCCAAACCTCGAACCCTCGAAATCGCAGGTCTTTGGGTCTGATCTAGGCTTAGGCGTAGGTACAGTGCAGCAACTGAAAAGCTCATTGCTCGACCTGCTGATCCTGCAGTAACTAGTAACACGCATAAGAAGCTCGCAACCTCAAGCGGAAAAACCCTCAGAAATCCAAAGCACTGAACCCCCTCCTCTCCTGCATTGCTGTCGAAGGGCGCAGTCCTTGCGTGAAGCCAGCGATAGTTGTCCACCTAGTCTGGGGCTTAGGGTTTAGGGAGCTCAGAGGGTTTAAGGATGAGTCTGCAAGGTTCAGGGTGTAATTTAGGGGCCCGAAAAATTACCAAGACTATTTTGGTGGGTTCCTTATTCTAATTGTAGTATAGTGGGCCCCAAAACCCTGTTCTAATTATTAAGGCCCCTATATGAGCTGGATGTAGGTAATCATGCCCAGGCACAAGATAGGCCTCACCAGTGGTGAGGTCCTGCAGGAGGTCCCAGCACAAGCCCTCAGATTAGGACACTAATATGTTTTGGGGTGCATATGCAGAACGCTAGCGACGGAAACTCCCAAAACTACAACAAATTGTGACAACTTTAACTGCCCGGCCCAAGAACCCAAACTCTACCGCCACCCCCAAACAGCAAACCAATGACGGCGGTATCTCCACCCAAACACCCCTCAGCAGCGGCACGGTCCCAATGCTGAACCACAGAGGGATCGCTGCAGACCTCCTCCAGCTCTGCCAGTGCTGAGCGCACCTTCGGAAGTTGGGTTACCAGGCCGTCTTCGTAGGTCCTGATGTAGGGGCCTAGTAGACCTATATATGCTCTATACGGGATATATTAGCAGATCACCACTAATTCCCACCCTTTTAGGAGGTTCCGGGTCCGAGGATTTACTAAATGCGAAATGCAACCTTGGCTTCCTTGCAGCTTTCAGATTATGCACCTCGACGACGAGCCTCGGCTTTAGTCCGAAGTAGCCTCGTGTACATTCGGTACATGCTTCTGGCAACATCGATGCCTTGCAAGATGGCTGCCAGTGTCTCGTGGCGATCGCGCAACTTCAAAGGCTGACACAGACGTCTGGTCTTATCGAAAACCTGTCAAGATTTGGGGATCAACCTCCCACTTTGACGTAAAAGCTTACAATTACTAGGTCCTTGGTTTCTGAGGGTTGGAAAACGCAAACAAGCTGATCCTAAACGTCTAATTAGCCTTGTGAGCAGTGCTTCCGAAAGCAGGCTGGACTGTGCCAGAATACCATACCCAACTTGAAGCCCAAAACCCATATAAGCACGACGAGAATCATGGAAAGGGAAAAGTTCTTGGATCCGCAGCTACACCACTTGCACCTGATCCTCTTCTTCTGTCCCTCGGTAGACCGCCATAATGGTTTCGACCTCAGAGCTCTTTTGGATGCTTTACTATGAGGATAAACTCGCTAGTAATCCCAATATAGCTACGCTATACGGCTTTGAATTATAAAGGTATCCTCTGATAATCCTCGAATACTCTGTTATTGTAGAATGTCCAACAAAGCCCTTTAGACGTATACAAGTGTCTACCATCCAACCAGACTCTCTGATATGGTGAATGTGGGCAGTTCTCCTGTACTACGGCCCCAACAACAGCACATACGCAAGAATTAGGATAGTGATATCCCATATAAACTCTCGAGAATGAAGCCCAGTAAGGTAAGGATATCCCTGTAAAATGCGTATGCTAATGTGAGTATATACTGGGGGCCTTTATACTTAGAATCGGGAATTAGGGTACAGTATGGTTCCTTATAAGAAGGGACCCTGTGAGAATATGATGATGATCTCAGGCCTCTATTGCAGTGCCTGTGGTGCAAGTTAGGGCTCAGGTGTTATATCCCCAAGGGCCCCCCTAATTGGGTTTTTTGGGTAAATGGCTTAACAGGTTCAGGGCCGTCAGGCCGACGACCCTAATCCACGACTCTTGCCGGCACACCAACTACAAACGAAGCCCAGGTCCAAAAGCCTAAACCCTAAACCCTGAACCCTGAAGCCTAAACCCTGAACCCTGAAGCCTAGGCAACCTTTCGGATTCTCGATTTGCAGCTCTTTCTCGTTTTAACCGAACCAGCCCTGCACCCTAAGAGCGCCCCCCCCAATGGGCTCAGGCAGCGCACCATGTTCTTGGCATACTGGATGCAGGGGCGCCCGTTTGCCTCATTGGTGAAATCTGTGGTTTTGGTGTATGTGATAGTATACTGAGATTGAGGGTATCAACGAAATAGTGTTACTTATCAGTCTTCCGGCTTTCCAACAGTATGAGGGGTCCAGGACTGCAAATCTATCGTTGCAGAAACCCAGCTATCTACAGATCTACGTACCTGTGTCCTGAACCGTAAACCTCTTACCCTACAGCCTCTATCCTATAAGATACACTCTTAACCTGAATTTGGGGCTGTCCCTAATTTTAAACCTCCTACCCTAAAGCCTCTATCCTATAAGATAAACTCTTAAACATCTTGAATTTGGGGCCGCTCAGGGGCATCCTTGTAGGCCATAGGCCGCTCCGTCTCATCGGAAGGAGGCAGCCGCCGCCAGCTCGGATGGTACTCCACGGACTTGGCATCGTACTTGAACCCCCGCTCCTTAGGGTTCTAGGGACTTTGGGTTTAGGGGTTAGGGCTTGAGGGCTTTAGGTTCTGGGGACTTTTGGTTTAGGGTTTAGGGCTTTAGGGCTTTAGGTTCTAGGGACATCACACTCGTGACGGACACCGCTTGATTCGATGGGCACAAACAAACTTGCGGCTTCGAGCACTGCTTACATAACCGTGACGACCGGCGTGCGCCATCTCGCCCTTTTCCGGTCGCGACGGTGATCACGCCGCGATTGGCTGCAGTGCCCACGGACGGTTTGCCGAGGCCGATGGCCTGCGCCAGGTGCTTACGTACCCAGCCGGAGCCGCCGGGCAAAGCATCCAGTTGCCGAGTTGACACAGACGGTTCGTCTCGGTCACTTGCAGCACCACCTAAGTGAGAAGACGTGCACGTCCGTCTGATCTTGGATTAATTTCGATCAAACTAAAAGCTCGCGTCGCTCATCGGCGCCTCGTTGAAGTTGGAGTGGAAAACCCAGACCACCTCTTCGCCCAGCCATTGGAAAGGGCCGTCTTCGCCTGAGTGGAGTTGGAGAGAGCAGGTCGTCTGTTCGATCTGTAAGTAAGATCCGGACGTACCGAGAAAACTGCTGTCGTGTTGCTGGAGATCCCAGGAGGTTGCATCGGTCCTTCGAGTGCACGCTGGGGTGCGAGCCGATCGATAAGGCCCGAGCACGATCTAAGGCAGCAGCCGGAGGCAGCAGACGAGGTCGCGTCGAAGAGAGTCGTCGCACCTCGAAATCGCACAGGGTGCCGATTCGCCTCGTCGTCTTGCGCCCAGCTGTCGAATAAGACCAAGACTCACCGACGCAGTCGTTCTAGTTTCGTTGGACGCCCACGGTGGTGCCGTTGCTCCTTAAAGTTCGCGGCGTTATGGAGGCAGTAAACGAAGGAACGGCAATACGAATTGCAGCGAACCCAGGGCGATCGCCAAGGTCCACCGGAAAGGCAAACTCAGACACAGACGTCGAGCCTTGGAAGTAGAAACTCACAAACACGCACGTGGTGCATCGCGTCGTTCAGTCTCCGACGCTGCTGGATCCTGGTTGCGCATTCTTCGCAGACAGTATGTCCGCAAGGTGTGAATGTGCAAATGCGTTCCGCCGTGTCCTCCGACAGGAAAAAATAATGCGATACTGGGTTACTACGAAGTTCATTGAATTGCCTCCAGGCAGATGGGACAAGCACCGATCAATTTGACGCCGAAGAGGCGCACCTCGACACAATTCATGGTAAACAGCTCTGGCGGAAATGTACGGTATTGCTTGGGTCAGAACGACGGCGCAGTTCGAGAGCCGACAGGATGGGCAGGAAGTCATGAAGCTCTCGCCGTTACAAGTTTGAGCTAACGATGGCTACGAAGTTTTCAAGGACGAGCCCACGAATTTTCTTAAGCCCCAGCAGCTGTGAATCCACGCAAGACCGTGGCTTGGACCGGACCAGATACACTGCAGCAGCACAACTTCCCACGCCAATGCCAGGCGAACATATCGTCGACATATACAAGTAAGACAGCAGCAGAGATTAGTTCCCCCGAATTCTGCTCCAACCCAAAGCCTTCATGACGATTCTTAACTTTGATCACAATCCCTGACTACGACGTAACTCGTGGCTTCGGATCGTAGCTCGTGGCTTTAACCGAATGGTAACTCGTCGCTTTGCTTCTTCAGTCACGGCTTCGATGGTAACTCTCGACTTCGATTCTAACTGGTCGCTTGGATTCCTCGCTCACGGCTTTTCATCGTACTTCGCTCAAACCCCGCTCGGAGCTTAGGCCTTCAAGTGACTTCAACTCCGCTCGGGGCTCAAGCCTTGATCATCTCACAAGGCCGAGAAGTCTTTCTGTTTCGTGATCGCACGAAGAACAAGCTCATAGGCTTCTGAATGACAATCTCACAAGGTTCGGGGCCCATGGTTTCTGAATAGTAATCTCACAAGGTTCGGGGCCCATAGGCTTCTGAATGATAATTTAACAAAATTCGGAGCCCATAGGCTTCTGAAGGATGACCTCACAAGCTTCGGAGCACGTGGGCTTTTGAGGATAATCTCACAAGGTTCGGAGCCCATGGGAAGCAATGGTGGTGGCACGTATGCAGAAGCCTGCCCCGGATCATCCATGCTTGGGTGTCAATCGAACGGAGACAGTTGCTCTTTTCCGAATTGGAGCAGGTGCATTGTCCGTGCTCCAATTACACACCGAATTACGCAGCGGCACATTGTCAATCAAGCTGGCCTCCGTGGCCAAAAACATCTTCATCATCTACAGGCTCCTCGAGCCCCTGCAAGCGAAGATCTTCTGCTACAATCACCCATTCTACACGACGTTGGATGGCGTGGCGGTGCTCCTGGCTCATTCGTGGCCAGAAATTTTCCCACGAGTGATTGGTTGCATACACTCGTGGGGTGCCTGCCGGAATTAAGCCATCCACATTTCGAGAGTGGATGCTGCGATCGTGCTCCAAATCTATCAAACCCTTGCAAAGGTCAACATCCAGCTCTGCAAAGCAGGCTTCGTCCCAGAGCAAGCCCTCGCTGTTGAGGAAAATGAGACCTTTAATTTGATCTCGACTGGAAATGAAATGGTAATGCCCGCAAATGGAAGCAAGTGCAGCGGCGGCTAAGGAAGTCTTTCCGACCTCACCGCGACCGCTTAAAATCAAAGTTTTGGACTTGTGGGTCGTCGCGACCCACTCCTGTACTGCCAACGGCACGCGGAAACACGCCAAAGAATACTTCGGCGCTGCCTTTAAGGTTCTGCCGGTCTCAGTGGGAACGAAGGAACCCAGTTGGATCTGACAAGTCTTCGTTCAAACATGTTCCATAGGAGGCACTGCCGAGATTAGGGCAGAATCAGGTTGCAGCGAAAATCAGCATTGGCTAGACTGACACTTCAGGCCAGCACAGGCATGCGCGAATGTGAGTTTTCATCGACTGGACTGTGCAGCATGTTTTTTTGTTGCACATCCCTTAAATGTTATAGTTTGACGCCCTAGTAACCGCAACCGACTTTGGCAAGATTTGGGCTCAACCATGTGTCGCTGATTGAGACCAATTGTCGTTGCGTAAAGACATAGAATTCGACACAGTAGTACCCACACTTTTCAAATATGCTTAGCCGACCAAAGATGAGTGAAATCCGTTGATTGAGCGTTGTTGCGTCTGTCTTCGTCTGATACACGACTTATTCTGGCCGCAGCTGCTTGAATGTTCGTTTGGTTTACACATGTGTAATTGTGTGTCTGTACTTGGCCGCTTCTTTTTTGCACGGCAGACGCGGCCTCGGTGTCCGCTCACCCCAGCCGCTGTCCTGATGGCTCAAGTTTCGAATCGCCGGCTTCTCAGATGCATTTTTAAGCATCGGACGCTTCAACGAGGGTTTGCGCATCCACTGGAGTATGACATCTTCGGCTCCGCGTTTCGTCAAGAGACGCCTCACCGAAGTGGCATGAACACACTAACAGTCCAATAGTAAGGCCCTTGCACGTCGTCCAGTCCCAGCCAGTTGGCGTACCATTCGAGCACCCTGCCGATCGTACTCGCGGCAGATAACAAAAACATAAATGTAAGTTTCCAGCCTCAAACGGTGCTCGATCACCATCTCAATGGCGTGGACGTATGGATCTGTCGAGGTCGTCGGCCAGTCTACGACGTCGAGCAAGTCAAACTTCTCTAGTGCAATTTTACCTCTATCCCGCCTTCTCATACACCTCGTACACGAAGTCGCCTCGTGACATATCAAGGTCCAATACCAGGTGGCAGATATCATAGAAAGACTGGCCTGCGCCGACCTTTTCCAGCAGGGCACGTTCGAGGTCAAAGACCTGCCCATGCAATTATTCTACAAGTCGTTTACGATGACTCTCAAGCCTTGGCCGTATGACGTCCACTCCACCAGATCGGATACCTAAGTCGCAAACCCAACAAAGCCCTGACGGTCAGAACCACTGAGTCGAGACTCACACTAAGCCGAGGCAAGGACCGAAACTCCGGCCGGTCGTCTGCCAGATCGCCCATGGGCATGGCATACATAGGTCCTCGCGAGACAGCGGGAAAAGAAATGAACGAACAAATTGACCCCTCGAGAATGCGACCGGGGAGTCCAGCCATATCGACCTGGAACGATGGAGGCATGCGCAAGAGTCCAATAGAATCGACTTCCGAGGACGCCACGACGAGGAAGGGCGAATGAGAACGGACACGATACTGAGAGAAACAGCTGCCGTGAGGACACAGACAACAAGAGTATTAGATTATCACGCTCTATCCCGAGGAAACATGCTCTTGGCGCTCTTGTAAAATGTACGTGTTGCTCTTTTATAATATCAAATAGAACATTAAGACTAGCAATAACTAGTATCGACAACACGACCACTTGCGCACGAAACCTCCAGCAGAAAATGTGGTCGTGGAGTGATATCGAGCCGAACCGACTCTTGCCTGCTTTCAATTCACTTATCAACCTCTTGGAGCTCTAGCCTCAAATTCGCTCAAACCCCGCTCGGAGCTTAGGCCTTCAATTGACTTAAACTCCGCTTGGACTCAAGCTTTATCTTCACTTCAACCCCGCTTGGGGCTCGGCTCCCACTCTTCCCTATCTCCCTCTCTCTCTCTCTCTCTCTCTCCTCTCTCTCCTCTCTCGTTCCCTCTCTTTCCAGTTCTGGCCCGCTTTTCGTCCTCTTCTGTCCTTTGGTTTTGTAATTCATCCCGTGTCTTCCTTCATTTGCAGTCGCACCTGCCATTCCCTCACTGTAGACTTCATCGCTCTTCCGTTGCTTCTGTCCTCTCCTCCCAGTCCAGTCCTCTTCTTCCGCCTCGTCCCTGTCTCCCTGTCTCGTTGTCTCTGTGTTTCTTTTGAATGCGTATATCCAAGGAATAAGATCGTGCAAACCTGCACGCTCTGTCCGCGGTCGTGTCGCAATGGTTCTCCAAGTGGCGATCTGTCAGCAGAGGGAACAAAATCAGCCTCTACCCGACTGTCGGTCCTTCGCTCTCGTCGCCCTGGCCCTCGCTCCTGCCCTCTCGTCTGCTGGATAGAAAATATAATTCTCCAACTCGTATGCATGTCACAGGCGATGCAAAGGAAACAGACGCCGTGTTAAATCTACACGCTCTCTCTGTACGCTCGGCTACTGTGGTCCCTAGAGGCGATGCCCGCAAAACCCGCCGATCCCTTCATGTGTGCTCCTTCCTTTCTTTCCCACACAGATTTCTTCTGTCTCTCCTCCCCGTTCCCTGTTCTCCGGAAAGACGGCTGCAAGCGGTGCTGCAGGATCGCGTCCTGTATAACGACACGACAAGAAAAGATAAGTAAAAAAAAGAGTTTAGGAACTAAACCCTAAAAGGCGAAGCTGGTTAAGGGTGGGAGCCGCCCGTGCGGCGCGGGAGGGAAAAAAATCTGACGTGGCCGATACAAGGCCCCAGTCTCCGGGCCTCCATGCGCACTTCGAGGCCGATGAAGTCGCATCAAGCTAACATGCCCAACCGGTGTGCCGTGCGCAAACCCATAAGCTCCGGACGTCTTCGGTGTGACCAGGTCTGGTCTGCCTGGCTGGAGCCCAGCATTACTTCACGCCAAATCATGTCTAGAACATCGTGCTCGGTCTCAAGCTGCCACCCAGCCTACCTCGTCAAGCCTCGTCTTCGGTCTCCTTGCCAAGTCGCAGGTCGTCCAGCTGGCAGCCATGTTATCCCTGTCCAGCCTTGTCTTCGGTCTCCTTGCCAAGTCGCAAGGTCATCGTCGCGACGCACTACGATTTGCTGCGACGAACAGCAGCCTTGAGGTAGCTCTTTGGCACGGCGTCCACAATCACCAACCTGCGCGTAGTCCTGCGGTGAGGGTTTCAACAGATGGTTACACTCCGGCGCTCGATGCCTCGATCATCTTCTCTATCTCATAGCGCAGGTGCTTCGAGTTGATGTGCCGGTTGGTGCAATCGTTGCCTGCGCATATTGGCTCTTTGGTTCCTGTGAACTCGACGGTGCCTGCCTGCCACAAGGAGAAAGACCGTTCTGTCCTCTGCGACATTGTTTTCGAGGTTCCCCAGAGCTGCGAAACCGCGGGGCCTTTTTCTCCAGCGGCTCCACAAGCTTCCAGAGGTGGCGATTGAAGCCGCCCGAGCTGAATCCCTAGGGTTTAGGGCTTTAGGGCTTTAGGGTTTAGGGTTTAGGGCTTCAGGGCTTTAGGGCTTTAGGGCTTTAGGGCTTTCGGGCTTCAGGGCTTTAGGGCTTTAGGGCTTTAGGGCTTTAGGGCTTTAGGGCTTTAGGGCTTCAGGGCTTTAGGGCTTTAGGGCTTTAGGGCTTTAGGGCTTTAGGGCTTTAGGGCTTTAGGGCTTTAGGGCTTTAGGGCTTCAGGGCTTTAGGGCTTCGGGTTTAAGGCTTTCTTCACGGGGTCTTTGGTAAGTCACCAATCAGAAAAGGTTCCATGTCAATAAAGGCCTGAAGATTTAGAACAGGGTCGTACTTGGAGCCTCGCTCCTTAGGGTGCTGAGGATTTTGTTTTAGGAGGGATTTCGGCTTAAGGTTTGATGGCTCCTTGACTGTTGGGTTTAAGGATTTGGGGTTTTGGCTGAAAGCTAAAACACACTTTTCCCGTGCTCAAATCTCTAACCCTAAATCCCGACAATCCCGAAGACTGTACTGCTGATCGACACAAACCTGCGTGCATAACGAATCATAGATATAGACCGTATAACTCCCGTAGCCGAGCGCACTTCAGCTAATACATCTTGAAAGCTTTAAAATGTAACAAGCTTTATTGAACCTTTGATTTCGGCCAGAAGCCACACCTGCAGTCCCAAACCCCAAAACCCCCGAAACCCTAAAATCCTAAACCGCAAACCTTAAACCCCAAAACCACAAAACCCCAAAAATACCGAAACCCTAATCCCCACACCTAAAGACCTAAATCCACAGCATCATCAGCCACGGATCTACCAGCCTGAGCAAGGATGGCTTCTCCTGCCTTGGCAAACTGCCGATAAGAGTTGAAAAAAGGACACTAGAAAGGAGTACGAAAAGGGTTACCATGACATGAGGGTTTCGAAAATGGTTACTCTGGTTACTATACGGTTGTCACTGTTCAGTAGCTAAAGTTTGGCGTGTAGGGCTCTGGGGCCTCGGGGTCTAAGGCTTTCGGGTCTGGGGTTTAGGGTTTTGGGTTTAGGGTTTTTTTTAAGGGTGCATTGGGACTTTCACTCTGCCGACTCCCTGCCCAATTTGGGCTTGCACTAGCCAAAGAGGCACACCCCATGTTGAAGATGCCTTAGTAAAAAAAAAAGGTGGGTTTAGGGTTTTGGGTTTAGGAACCCTAAACCCTAAACCCTAAACCCTAAACCGGGTTTAGGGTTTAGGGTTTAGGGTTTCGGGTTTTTTAGACTTCAGAGTGCTGCGGTCTCGGGGTTTCAGGCTTCCTCTATGCAAGGCTTAGGATCGATGATTGCATGCAGGGCTGACGGCTTTGGGGTTCGTTTAACCGGAAATCACACCCCTGAACTCGAAACTCTAAGCCATTTGGGGCTTTAGGCCCCCAACCAAAAACAACGGCTCACACTCGTCAAAGCCTGAAGACTGGTGAGCCTCAATTCGCCAAACAAGATCTCGAACCTGCTGACAAGATCTCACTATGAGCTTCGAGATCTGAAAAAGGTTATCCAGGTTTGGGGTCGTAGGCTGTAGTTAAGGCCGCTAATCCAGGGCTTTAGAGTTCTGGCTTCAGGGGCTTCGGGGTTCAGATTTTGAAGGCGCAGAAGGTTTATGGTGGCAGCCGCAAAGTTGGAAGATGCGCAGCCAAAATTTCAGCACCCCACAATTGGAATAAAACACATCTTCCAACTTTGGATTCTTCCAAGTTTGCAACCGCTCCAAATGCCGGGACCTAAAGTTGGAAGATGGGACCAAGCAGACCCAACATTGAATTGCAGTTTCTCCGTCTCTCTCTCTACAATACTGCAGTAATTGAAATTTTTCTCCCTCTGCAATACTGGAGCGGCCATGGTGTTTGCAGCTTCTCTCTTTCTGCAATATTGGAGCGGTCGTAGTAATTGTGCAACACTGGAGCGGTCCTAGGAATTGCAGTTCTCTCTCTCTCTCGGCAATATTGGAGTGGTCGTGGTATTTGCAATTTTTCTCTCTGTGCAATACTGGAGCGCTCGTAGTATTTGCAGTTTTTCTCTCTCTGCAATACTGCAGTGGTCGTAATACTTGCAGTTTTTTTATCTCTCTCTCTCTCTCTCTCTCTGCAATACTGGAGCGGTCGTAGTAATTGCAGGTCCTTCTTTCTGCAATACTGGAGCAGTCGTAGTACTTGCAGTTTTTCTTTCTTTCTGCAATATTGGAGTGGTCGTAGTAATTGCCGTTTCCCTCTCTCAGCACTACTGGAGCGGTCGAAGCAGTTGCGGTTTCTCTCTCTGCATTACTGGAGCTGCTTCCCAAAAACCGAAAGTTGGAAGATACCGTTACCGCATCAACCGGTCCAAACGCCGGGACCTAAAGTTGGAAGATGGGACCAAGTCAAACCCAAAGTTGGAAGATGCCGTTGCCGCATCAACCGTTCCGATTGCCGCCTTCCAACTTTCCGGCGGCTACTGTAGGGGTTAACGCTTACGGCCTTCATCGATTAGAGCCCCGACCACGTTCTCCAAGTCCACACGATGCTCGCCCCTCAAAAATCAGCAAGCCGACACCTTTGGCCAACCCAGGCGCAGGCGTGCGTAAATCTCCGCCGCGCTGGCGAGCCTCGCAAGAGTCTCAGAAAGAAGCCACCCTACTGCTGACGCCCAAAATCCTCGCACATATCTCACGTCGCACTGTCCATTTCCCCGCAACCCCTTGATTTCAATGTTGCATCACCATGGGGTCATGCAGGATTTTGGGCATTCGCACAAGCCTTGGTTTTAATCCCTGCATCAATGCAATAATTATTAAAATTAGGTGTAGCAGGGGAGCCGTGGGGATGTTCACCGTCATGCAGGATTTTGGGCATCAACCGTAGTATTGGCATGTGTCCACATTGTAGATTGTAAGGAACACCCTAAACCCTAAACCCTAAACTATATGAGGCACCCCGAATCTTACAGGGGACCTCCTGCCCCAAAGGAACCCTGAACCGAAATCCTGAACCCTAAGCCCGCCAAAACCCTACACACCCCAAGCCCTAAAGCGTATAATAGGGTTTAGGGTTTAGGGTTTAGGGTTTAGGGTATGTAGGGGCCTTAATAATTGGAATAGGGTTCGGGGGGTTCCTTATCATTATTATAGTAGAGTATACCCCCAAACCCTATTCCAATTATTAAGGCCCCCACATTAAAGCGTTGAACCCTTCACCGCTAAACCGGAACTAGTGGCTTGCTCACGCCCCCCTCCGCGGCCGGCCGCACGCAGATCATCGCCAGGACATCGCAAATCCTTCGAAGGGTTCCGGTATTTGGGGTTTGTGGGTCTAGGGTTTAGGGTTTAGGGTCCCTCAACGCTGAATCCCAAACCGTTGAGGTTTTTGGGCTTGGCGTATTTGGGGTTTAGGATCATCTAGGGTTTAGGGCGTCGGGTCTGGAGTGTTTTAGCCAACTCTTCCAACTAGGGTTGACAGGTTAGGGTTTAGGGAATTCAGCCTTTTTTTTGAAACAATGAACCGTAAATACACACACACACACACACCTCCCAAAAAAAGCAAGGGCCTTATAGCCTTGCAACTCATCAAACTCTCCTGTGCGCGCGCCTCCAGCTCTGATGATCAACCCTTTAGGGTTTAGGGCAAAGGGCAATTGATGTTTAGGGCTTACAACGAAGAATTTGGTGGTCTGGGGCTAAGGGTGTAGGGTTGGGGGAGTCTTGGGCTCAAGGCTTTTAGGGTTTGGGGCTTACGGAGGGTTATTGGTCGCTGTTACGGCTCAAACAGGAAATGGGAGAACCAGCACAATGACCCTGACTATCACTAAAAACATGCTGGCTCCGCAACGATCTAAGCCCTGAGCTCACTTATGATATTTAGGTAGATGGATAGATAGGGTTTCGGACGAGGAGTATAGTATGTATGCTAAGGACCGGAATGAAAAGTATCACTAGTCGTGAGTAATCATCCATGCTTCCTTTCTAACCCTGAAATGAAGCTCCAAACCCGCATGACATGCTGTGGAGGATCCCCTCTCCACGTGCGGCCGGAATTGAGCTATCCACGTGGAGGAATTGGTCCTTTGCAGGCTCTGAAACGGCTCAGTGATTGAAGCCTGCATAAAGGTGCCACAGGGCCGAACATTGGCGCATAGTCGAGTAGCAGAACTATTTTGTGACAGGGGGATTTTCTTATGAATTATCAGGACCACTCTCTTTTGTTCAAGTTGCCATGATGTCCAAACCCCTCGCGGAGAAAAGAAAGCGGCAAGATCAATACGAAGGTCGTCCTGGAGCTGCATCACTTTGACTACTACAAGTCCTGCCTGCCTGGGCGGAGGGATTTAACTGAAAGGATAGCGATTTAGAGTTTGGAGACTTCGCATCATACGCATAAGTATGCCTCGAACGCTGGTTTCAGGCATACACGGCCAGTATGCTGAAGCCAACAATCTGCACGATTCGATCCTTGGCATTGCGGTAGCCCCGTCGCTTGGTATGCGTGGCTGCCAGGACTTCCAGCGATCTTGCATCCTCCACCTGCGCTTGCAAATCCATGCCAAAATGCAGAGCTTGATTAATCGAGAGGCATGCATGAATGGTTACTCATACTATGGACTTCTATAAGGTTTGCATGAATGATAACTCATACTATGCCCTTCTAGTAGTAGTCCCAAGAGACTGCTGCGTAAACTTAGGAACCTGGAAGCCTTCGAGCTGAAGCTTAGGATACTGACAAACCCGAAATCCCTTTGCAGATTCAGCTCTAATGATTAGGGTTCAGGGGCTAGGGCTTAGGCTTCAAGACCGAAATCCCCGAATGAGTAGAGCGGACAATCAAGAAAATTTGAAGGGGGCAACAGGAACACCGAAAGGAACTCTTAAAGAAGCCTTATGAATCAACTTAAACTCTGCTTGAAACCATGGCCCCGGAAAGCCAAGCAACTCGCGCACACAGCTCACCGAGGTCAGTGGACTGGAAGTTGCAGAATTCAAACGACTTGATAAGGGTGTGCGACGATTTTGTGAAAATTGTGCGTGGGTTTTGTGGCTTCTTTTTAGGAGGGATGTGTGAAGGTTCTACGAAGGCTTTATAAAGTCGTTGCAGGGGTTTGTGATGCTTTGTGAGGGCCATACGGTTTTTGCAATGGCTTTTGGTGGGCGAACTACAGGGGGTGTGCGGGTTATGTACGGCTTCTGTTTGATGTGAGCGTAGAAGGGCTGTAAAAAGTTCTTGCACGGGTTGTTTAAGAAGTTATAAATATGTGTATATATATATATATGTATATATACATATAAGTATAAGTATATATATATATATATATATTGTTGTATTTGGTTGTGTATATATGCGCATAGCGGCTTTATCAGGCTGTGGGAATCGACACCAAAGCATATGGGGCCTTTCAGCACTACATACTGACAGACAGAGAGAGAGAGAGAGAGAGAGAGAGAGAGAGAGAGAGAGAGAGAGAGACACACACAGAGCGCGAGAGCGCGCGAGAGCGAGAGCGAGAGCGAGAGCGAGAGGGAGAGGGAGAGGGAGAGGGAGGGACATGGACAGGGACAGAGAGCTTGAGCTTTCATGTGCTGGTTTAGCGGTAGGGTCCAAAACACTGTTGTCTGCATTTGGCATTGCTCAAGGGCTTCCTAGGGCCGAAAGTCCAAGCCGTTTAGCATGTCGGGGGGTGGTTGAAGGTTTAGCCGTAGAGTGTATGTTCATAAGGGTTTAGGGTTTAGGGTTATTGAACATGAACCAACACTGGTCTCTTTCCTTGCTAGCATGTATATACACAGCAGGGGATGCGCCAAGAAATCTAGACTAGACTGAGATCCATTGCCAAAGCCCCAAGCCTATAAACCTCACACACTGCTTCTTTCAGGCTCCAAAACCCCTACTAAAACCTGGGACCCGAAGTCCTGAAATGTCCTGAAAACCCAAATCCTTCAGAAAATCCTGGGCTCCCGACCGGAAGGTGTAGCCCCTAACCCCAGAGCTTCCTAGTGCCCACTTGGAGTCGATAACAGGAACCCCCTTTTCTCTTATGCTTCCCTTGCGGAACCCTTAGACAAAAGGGCACCAGGTCGACCCTCCGTTCCTGAGAACCAAATCCCGGATCAAGGCACTAATTAAGTAAGGTCGTGACTTCTCTGATTGAGGCGGTCAGCAAGTATGACCTAAACCCTAAACCCTAATTCCATAAATCTTACAAAAGTCCCCCCTTTTAGCAAGAAGGCCTGCGCCACCGCTCGACCCAGATGCGCACAGAGACCGAAGAAGCAGCGCCGGCAGTCCTTTCGCACGGGTTAATGTTTAGGGTTTAGTGACGTCTCCCATATTGAATTTAGGGTTTACGGCTTCATTTCTCAGGGGTTTCGTGCTTAGGACAGCTTGCCTTGCTGGTTAGAAGACGGTTTTTGGTGTAATAACACGGAAGCCTCAGGAAGAGCAGTCCCAATCACTCGAGCTTCTACTTAAAGGATCATGGGACTTAATAACTAGGGTTAGGAGTAAGGTAACTACTCTTGCTATTACTAATAACACCAATGAAGGTACTTATAGCCTTACTTACTACGTCCCCTGATTCTCCAAGTAGTCATAGTAACCCTTACATCAACTCTCATAACAACCCTTATAGCCTTACGTACAAAGTCCCATGATTCACCAAGTAGTCCTATAGTAATTAACCCTTACATGAACTCTCATAACAACCCTTATAGCCTTACTTACTAAGTCCCATGATTCTTCACATCGTACGTTGCTAGGGCCTCTTCTCCCAGCTGATGGGTCCAATCTGGGCCGAACCTGCGCCATCTTGCGGTTTTCTTGGTGTCGGGTTCAGGGTTTAGGGTTTAGGGTTTAAGGCTTTTGGGGAATTCGATCATGTAGGGTCTTGAAAGTAGGGTTCAGGGTCTTGAAGCTCGGGTTTAGAGTTCACGGTTTAGGGTTTGAAGGTTCGGTTGGAATGTAGAGTTCCTTAAACTACCTTAGATATTCCCCAGTTCGGGCTGCAGCTTCCAGCTTTGACTCAGGAGTGCAAGCCTCGGTGGCCAAGGGTCCAACCTGGACTCCACACCGACGCCCTGAAACCCTGAAGCTCGAATAGAGGGGTCTCAGTATTCGGCTGTACTCCGGATGTAGATAAAACATATACCCCAATGCCAAAAGCCCCCTGTCTTGATTGTTCAGGGGCTTAGGATGCAAGCCTTGGGTATTATGAGGCCCTGAAGAACCGAACTGGGTGTATATGTGAGGGACCCTGAGGAAAACTTCGACTGACTATTCAGCGCCCTTTGAAACCCCTATATATAAGGACGTATAAACAACCCTATAAAGGCCTACAGAGACCTGTGGAAATACAGACAGGGCTGAGGGTAGGGAGTTCCGATGTTGCGATTTTGGGGATTCTTTCAAAATCAACCGATTTGGGCAGACATGCCAAGATGATGCCTGAGGCTTCGGTCTTTGGGATTTAGGCTTAGGGTTTGGGATGCGGACTTGAAGATTTGGGGCTGACGATCGGGGTTCGGGGCTAAGGCTCAGGAACCCTGTTTCCAAGCATGTCGGGCGAATGGTCTTGAAATCGTTTGTCCATGTACCTAGTCCGGTGGTCCGCAGAGCAAGCACATAGAGGTCTGCATTTTAGCAATGCTATCCTCTTGCAGTCCCTTTAGAACTATGTATATTGTATGAATATACCCCGAAACCTTTTCCGACCATTGCAGTCCCTGTATGGACTATGGAAAGCTAATAGAACCTCATGTCTACCACTGATCAAGAATTTAATGCGCAGAAGTTTCCCCAGCCCAATGTGAACATGTCGTGCGATTGAGGAAATCCCCGTTTTGGCCTGGTTACTTGCTAGGGGAATCTCTAGCCCTTTACAAGCCTGAGAATCTTGACATTTCTCTTCAACCCTGAAACCTTCAACCACAAAATCCTGAATCCCCTATACAACCCTTTGAACCCGAAAACCTTGAAAGACCCCATTATCTTTCACTTCCTACCTCAAAAGCACCGCTCCAGTGCCGTGCTGCAGCTCGTGCTTCACTTTTCGCACGGCTTCTTGCACCCTCTCCTGGAGGCTTTCTTAGAGATTGTTCATGGGGTTACGGACCCTAAACCCCATCGGCCCAACCTCTACCATTATTACACCTCGAACCGTGATTCAAAACTAAACCCTAAAGTCCAAAATGTCAGAGTTAAATACTTATGGCTGTATCCTGGTTGCAAGATACATTAATTCGAAGCCTGCAGCTCCTAATTGTATTACATGCG